TGCACTAAATCACCGTCCTTATTGCTTTTCTTTATTATCGGCGACGGAGACCGGGGGGAATAGATACGCTCTGCCGGATGATGCCGAAGCGGCTAAGGAGAGGCTAATACTGCTGTGATAAATAACGTACGTGTTTACTGAAGGTAATAATATTTATTCTAGGGGGGGAAAAAAAAGGCCCCTGAGGAATGGTGGGGCCTCACATGGTGTCACGATCTGGGATCCGGCTCAGAGTCCAGTAGCTGAAGCAGCGGGCACATTCGTAGTATAACAGGCCGGGTTCGGTACACAAGCAGAGGGTAGTAGTGGAGGAGCAGCAGAAGCGTAGTCAGTGAACAAGCCGAGGTCCGTAGCCAAAAGGTATCAGGTATGTAGCGGAAGACGGTGAGAGTAGTCGGCGAATCAGCAGCCAAAGGTCGGTACACGGGAAGCGGAATGAGTAGATTGTAGCACAGAGGGAGCAGGAAGCAAGATATTGGCAGGAGCACAATAATCTGGCAAACAGGAAGTGCAGAGGCGTGGCTTAAATAGGAAGTTCAAGGGAGGAGCAAGGAGGTCAGAGTTCAGCAGAGATTAGGTATAATTGAGGATTACACAGGAGATCAGGCAAGGAGCTGTCCAAGGTTCTAAGGTGGCTCAGCAGGTAGAACCACCGCCAGCTACAGCAGAGGCCCCGGGTTCTGATCCGGTTCCTGACACATGGTCTCTCCATGGTGGGGCTGCTGTTGCCTTTCGTCGGCCCATCTCTTTCAATACCTTCCTGGATTCCCAGTGTGCTTTGCACCTCTTTCCCTGCTGCTTGATGCAATCTCCATTTCTCAAGCCTACATATCCCATCATGCATTGCTTCCGGCAAGCGACAATAATGTGACATTGTTCAGACGTTGAGTTGTAGTTTCTGAAGGTGGGCTCGGCGAGAGAGAGAGGGAACACCAGGAAGTGCATATTCACAGGGCTGAGTGAAATGGTGTCAGTGCACAGAGGAAGTCCATCCTATGGCCATCTTCAATAAGTACTTTACAAGCTTCTAGGTGGATATGGATATTAGGAATGTGTAGGGCCATCCGTACCTTATTCGCCACCTGAGGTGGCCAGGAGAAGGCGGGAGCGGCAGCGAGTAAGTTAAAAAAATTCTAGGGCAACACTTAAAATGCCCATTCATCAGTGGTAGGAAAAAAAAAAGACCAGAATTGGTGCTTGATGGAACGCCCTTCATCATTGGTTGCTAGGATGCTGGCGGCACAGGCACCCACCTGCACCATAGCAACCTGTGATGCTGTGTTGCCTTTGGGCTGAACCACTGGCGTAACAATCGCCATAGCGACCCAGGCAGCAGCTATGGGGCCCGGTCACAGGGGGGCCCGGCCAGGGCATTCCTCTGAAGCCGACTGGGTCGCTATGGCATATCAGGGTGCTGGCTGTCACTGACACAGCTCCGCAGCGGCCTTTCCCCTCACAGCCGCTGCTGAGCTGTGTCAGTGACAGCCAGCAGCTACG